GTGACGTCATGTGAAGCTCGACAAGTTTAGCTTGACCCCCCGTCTAGGTTTTCCGTTTCTGTTTTTCTTTCCTTCTCTCCTTGAGCAGAACCACAGTTTGCCTCCTGGAGGCTAATCAGTGATAAAGTCAAGCCAGTGCTTGTGCCTTTTTGAACCCTGGAGTACACAAAAGCAGAGCAGAGGGCAGCAACGTTCACGTGGTGTCCCCATGCAGGAGTGAAAACCACAAACCGGCCTCTTTCCATTTAGAGCGCTGCCACCAAGAACACCACACTTTTTTTATCTTTTTTTTTCCCGCTGCTTCAGGACGAAGTACACACCCACACACACACACACAACAAGATAAACAGCACACACACACACACACAAAGTGTGTAGCAGGCATGTTTCTGGTGAGTGCCTTTCAAGCAGCCGTCTATCCCCCCCACCCCCCGCGTCCCCCCTTGAGGATGTTTACAGCTGGGATCACCAGGACAGTCTGGATTTCTGGCAGTTTTACAACAGGAGCAGGGAACCCCACACACACACTCTCTCTCCCTCTCCCCTTCTCTCTCTCTCACTCTCTGTCTTTAATTGCGACCACTTCACATGGACATACAGTTATGCTTTCCCTAGCCACTGAACCTGACTCTACCCGCCATGCCGTTCGGTGCGGCCCGTGGGAGCTTAAAATGCATCTAGTAAAGTCCATGCTGCAGAGTTTCTTAACCTGAGAAATTCAAAGTTTTTATAATCAATCAAATAATAATCAGTTGCAGAAACGTGTATAAGTCCGTTATGGAGTAGTTACCAAAAAAAAGAAAACATCTTTTAGACCCTGTTCTGTTTGTATCAGAGTCTGAATGACCTGTTATTTTAAAATATTGCCAGTTTATCTTTAAATAAAGAAAGAAAATGGATATGTCAGGATTTTTTTTGAATGAAGTAAATTAGTAAAAATTAAGTACATTTTTTCAGTGCGTCCCATTGTGGCCTAGTACCAAATAACCTATGGACTGGTACTGCTACTGGTCCGCAGACCAGGGTTTAGAGACCCCCGATCTATACAGTCTTCCATTTTACAACCGGCCCTTCAAGGGGAACTGTATTGTTGATGTGGCCCCCGATGAAAATGAGTTTGACACCCCTGCTCTACCTTAACCATTACAAATATATACCTAAACTCAACCCTAACCATAATCTGACCTTATGTTTTACCTTTACTCCAAATTTAAACCTCAAAAACCTTATAATACTCTCTCGCTTAGTCGGGACCTGCTAAGAGTCCCCAGAAACACACCGAGTGTCTCAACAACAGAAGCTGTCCCCACAAGTATAGCTTTAATGGTTTAGGTACACACACAAACTAAAACTGAAGTTCTAACTTTTTATTAAACGGTTGTTTCGTTTCCAACAGGCAGATGGAAAATGTGCCGTTAACAATTGTAGAACTTTCATGGTCTGATTTTTATATGAACATTGTAACAATTTTGGCATCAAATTCTTTGGTACCAAAAAAAATAATAATTTTTTCCTATTTTTTTTATTCTAGAAGATGCTTCTCTCTCTCTCTCTCTGTGTTTCTCTGTTTCTCCCTACATTGGAAAAGGCTTTCAGTCTGATTCAAAGAAATGGCATGTCCTGTGGTAACACAAACCAGAAGGTTTATGGAAACACATACACCAACCAAAACATCCCAATACCGCTAGTTAGGTTTAAGGTTATTATTAGCGTCTGGGGCGTGTGTTACGCCTGTTTGGTACAGAGTACATTGAGGGATTTCCCCCGTGAGGAGACGCAGTTCTAGGGATGGCAGAAAGAATGGCCCCAAAAAAACCACATGTTTTGGACACAGTTCAGTATAAAAACCAACCGATGTCAAGAAATCCTTCAGAGCCACTTCAGGAAAAGACTCGTCATCTTTGAAATCCTTCAGAGCGACTTCAGGAAAAGACTCGTCATCTTTGAGGTTTAAGTGCGAATCATTCGGTCCTTGATGAATACATTTCAACGTTAACGTAATCAGTAACATTTGAGGAGTGCGTCATGGTACACATGCGCTAACAGACATCTATAAGCCTACACACATACGTCTTAGCATGTAAACTTTAGCTCACAATGTATTTCGTGAACGTTAGCAACTGTTGTGTTTCTTTTTCTAAAGAAAAATAAACGCAAAAGCATTTTGGTCCGTGCAGGGGTTCAGTTTTGGTGACATTAATCTTTGTGTTTACGTTGGCCAGTCACTAACCAGGTGCATTTATGAGTACAAGACCACACCAGAGGCTTTACTCCACATGTGTGTGTGTGTTTCTGGTTTAGCTATACTTGTGGGGACTTGTTGAAAAAATTGTGTTATTTTGGGGACATTTTGCAGGTCCCATCTTAATAACAGATTATGTGATAGATTATATTTGAACTATGTTCAAGGTTTAGTTTGAATTACAAATTAGGGTCAGATTAAAGTTTATGTAAGAATTAAGATTAGGAATACATTTGTAATCGTTAAGGTTACGCCAAGAGGCCAGGGAATGCATTGCGGCAATGTGAAGTGCTCACAAAACACTAAAAACAGTGTGTGTGTTTGTGTCTGTGTGTGTGTTCATTAAGAGCCAAAATCATAATGGAAAAGTCTTTCTTTTATTTTATTTTTCTCTTCATGGTCCTTTTCTTTTCTCAGTCTACCCTTCAGTCGTGGCTCTGAGCTCAAACACCACGACGGTGTGTTGATTTTGGGTCTCCCCGCACCCTAGTTTTTTTTCCATGTTCAATAAAAAAATATACAGCAATAGCGGGAAGGTGGAGATAGAGTCGTGGGGTGAGGTGAGAAAAAAGGTTGACGAGGAAAGATTGCTAAAAAATAAAAACAGATGGAGTTTTTGATTTTGAAGATTTTCAAAATCTTTTGAAGACAAATATGTTTCCCTAAAAAATGCACTTCAATCCTATTATTCACCTTTCAACTTGACTGACAACACCACACAGACAACGTTCTGTAATTTAACAAATTAACAGGTCATGAAAACTGGGTATAAAAATAACTTTGACCAAAAGGCTGAGCCTTACCACGGAGGAATGGCTCATCGTTTTGTGCCGAACTATACTGACAGTTTTGTTTCTTTACTAACAAAACGTGCCAAACTTTCTAGCCAAAATGACCCTTTTACCCCCTTTCTTTTCCATGTGCTTTCCCACTGTTCAGCTCACTTTCCCTGTCGTCACATGGTCCTCGTTACGTCTGCCGTCGACCATTCAACCAGATTCACTCCTGTCTCCTCTCCTGCAATCCAGTCCGTCTCTTGCTATGAGCCCCTTCTTTGAAATGAAATAAGTTTATTAAAAGCAGCTTGTATATCTGTGTGTGTGTGTGTGTGTGTGTGTGTGTGTGTGTGTGTGTATGGGAGAGAGTGACTAAGATTGAGAGCAGAGCAGGGGGCTCTGGTATGCACATGTGTATGCCAGCTTTGGTGTCAGACATGTTGGGGGGTCCTGGCCTGGTGGAAACTACAAACCCCTGCACTCATATTGGGAACCATTTTTCATTCATCATTCTATTGGCAAACGGCAGGCGGATATTGTCCAGCTAGGGTTCTGCAGCAGATACGAGATAAATATATGAAATATAATGATGGTGTTTTAATTAATTTTTTTTTCACACAGTATTATGGTTATAGGGTTATAAGGGAGGGGTTTTCCTGTAAGAGTTAAAAGTATAAATGCTTCATAAATCATTTAAAAGTCAAAAAAAATTATAAGGGAGGGGTTTTCCTCATTTAAAAGTCAAAAAAAAGAAAGAAAATGAGTTCCAAAACTGTTTTATAAAAAAGAAAGAGAGATTAAAAAAAATTAAATAGAAAACAAACCTAGCCTAAAATGACCAAAAAAGGACAGAATTCAAAAAACAAAACAATGTAAAACAGAATTAAAAAAGCTAAAAGGTATAATTAATAAAAAGTGATATTAGAGAAAATTTAATTTTATAAAAATGATAAAAGTAACATTATATTAAAATACAGATAAAATGTTTATATAAAATGTATATATATATAAATGAAACAAATAATATAAATTGATGGAAGATGGAAAAACTATGATCCAGAAAGTTAAAGAAAAATGTTTCCCTGCATAAAAGTTGACTTAAAAAGTAGCAGTGTTTTTTCTTTTCTTTTCTTTTCTTTTTTTAATTTACCTGTTTTGCTCATTAAGACCCAAAATATAATAGGTCTGTGTGGCACAACTAGTCTAACTTTTCTCCAAACTAACCAGAACTTCATCCTTAACCAAAACTGCCTGACTAGTCACCAGCCGTAGGTTAACCACAGCCACTCATCTTCACTCTATCTAAGCTAACTAGAGCAGAAAACTTTAAGCTCTTCCTCTGCAAGACCAGGTTTTGGCTCCTGTTAGAACACACACACACACACACACATACACACACACATACTGTATCAACACACGCACATAGCTTCATGTCCACGGCAGAGTGTCTGTGGTTAAAGCATGGAGACGTTAAGACTGTGGCTACCTCCTAATAGTTCCACAAAGCATGATGGGATGCCCCTGCTTTGACCCACTGACAAAGAATGTCAGGTCAAATCAGCTCAGTCCACGTAGAGGAAAAACAAAACAAAAAAAAACTAAACTAAAAATCTGACTTATATTTGTCAGATATGAGTGGAATAAAGAAAGAAGTCAGAGGAGACGAAGCAAATATTTCTGCTGTTGCCGGGAAACATGAAGCTGTTGTGACACTGACATAAACAGTTTTTTCATGGTGTAGAGCATTGTTTACCAAAGACTGGGTCGTGACCTTCAGGTGGGTTTTGGGGGGAGGGGGGGGTCGTCTCACATTATGTTTCCCAGGAGTTTATGAATAATGTCTATTGATTTGGGTCGCGAAGATTTGTGACTTTTAAAATATGGGTCCCCAGAAACAAAGTTTGGGAAACACTGCATCAGAGTCAAGTGATGACTTTTTAGGTTGTGGTGTTAAAATAATTGCCCCCCATCACCTTCCTTACCTCATCGTCCTTGTACCAGGAGAGAGACTCAGCTGTGAGGACAAACCAGTACTCCTTGGCTCCTCCCTTCATGATGCTGATGTTGTTGATGGTCAGCCAGCCCTTCCTGATCACCTGACCAAGACACAGACCAATAGAAATGAGGAAGGAACACAGATAACATCCAGACCACACACAATCACTTTACATTAAATCTGTCAATATATCACACATCAACAACATATATGTAGCAGCCATACACTCAATATATATGAAATGGACATACTGTAAAGTCTCAAGGTTAGAAAAGTTTCTTTTTTATCAAATAATAATAATTCAAAAACTTCATCCATTTCTTATATACAGTGTACGGTGGCAGCAGATTAAAAATCTAAATTTGCTGTTCGTATGGCCAAAACAAGGCAGTACCAGGAATGAACAGTAGGGCGGCGCTCACCTAGATGACTAAAACTTTTTTTTTTTTTTAAATCATTATTTCCACCACACAGTCACTACTGTAGAGACTAAGCTGCACTTGGTGCTTGGTGAGGTATTTACCTTGAACCGATCATTTACTCCTCTCTCAGGCTAAATGAGAATGTAAAGAAAACACAATCAAACTATGCCAACATATGGCATATAAAA